ATGTCAAAACTACCATTAGTCTGTGATGAACTGAAATTTTACAAATTTAAGTTTAACGTCGAGGCGCATTTTTCCAAATTCGCTATGCTGTGAATTTAAACAGGGAATGCAAGGAGTTGGTTTAACGGAATGAGGTTTTTTTCTACGATGCTTACAGGCCCTCCCGCCCTCTCCTTTTCTCTAATCTCCCAGACCTCGCTCGTAGCCCGCCCGTTTTTTCGATCGTCCCCACTGACCGAGAGCGTAGAACAGCCTACACGCTGGTGCACGCGCCTTAAATATTACAGATTAATAAAAAGAAAGACGACCGCTAATGGACGATCGGTTTTTCACACAGGAACTGTTGCCAACACGCTCATAGTACAACTTTCGTTTTAAGAAACGTTTAATCGCTCAAAAATTAAAAAGAAGGAAAGGAGGCGTTACTAGTAAGCACGCCCCTTCTTATCAGAAAAGTATCGTTGTTGTTCGGAGAAATTGCATTCTAATCTTTATTTTGAGTTGTCCTGTATGTTTTAATTACTTCAATTTGATTTTATTCAGTGAAACTAATGATCTTTGTGATTCTAATATCGCTTTTCTTATTTGATTTTGGTCAGCTTCGTTTGCAACGACTTTGGGATTTTGAAATGAAAAAGATTTTTACAAGGTTATTTGATCGAAGAAAATTATGGAAATCAAGTGCTTCGCTTGCGTATTTTCCTACGCGCACTAGTCCTTAACTAATACTTAATGCCAAGATCGTGTTAGTTTGACAGTTAACCGATAACCCAAAACCGGTCGCTATAAAATAGGGAGTGCAAGATCTACAAATTAGAAGAGAGAATACATGAGAAAACTTCAGAATTGTAAATGTGAGTTGTTGATACCAGCCCGGAAAAGACTTAAAGCGGATTAGAGCAGCTGAACCAGTTGAGTGACATTTAGCCTGTCCAGAAGAGGAAGCAAAGATAATCCCCACCACGTTCAGCCTTTTACAGTAAACATAAAACTTACCTTGATGATCTTGGTATCATTGCTTCCATTCGTGTGGCTTCAGAGTAAGTACAGATCGCTCCAAAGACGAGAAACAAAACCCACACCATTCCCATTTGGTTACAGATCAATCAAGTTGACAAAACTTTAATTATGTTAACACGTTTTCGTATCACAGAAAACTATATCGGCTACAAGTATCCAATGGAATAACAGTTAATCGTAAGCAAATCAAGTCTGCGTTCAATTATTAAAGACTTCCACTGTTCAGGCACTTTCTACATTACTTTTACTGATATCATCTTCAATACTCGCTGACTGGTGGTGACAATGGACACTCTTAACAAGTATCCTGTAGGGCACGAGTTAACTTTTTTAACCAGCAGACAGGTCAAAACTACCATTAGTCGGTGATGACCTTAAATTTCAGAAATTACAGAATTCCCTGTGGCGGTTAATTTACTTTTTTATTCTTCAAGTTAATAATCAAGCAAACATTTTCACTTGCCCGGGGAATACCGCCGACTATACAACGACTTTCCTCTTGCTTATGATTGGCTGTATTTTTTATGGCATGGTATAAATACATATATTCACATAGATGCAAACAGTTTTAAAATACATGTTTTAAATGTCCT